GGCAGTAGTGATTGGCAGGCAGTGGGTGGGGTCCAGAGGCGTGGCTGGAGAAGTCAGAGCAAGCCAGAAACCTGTTTGCTGGTGACAAGGGCAAAGAAGAAAGAAAAATGAGTGGTTGGAAGTCGCAGCAGCTCTGAAGGGCTTGAAAAAAGACTGAGCTGTTTCCTGAGGAATGTCGTACCAAAATGGGGCAGTCACTCTTAGATGACAAAGGTGGGACTCCGGAGCTAAACCATAAGCCTCTGCTGCTTAAATAAAAAGGCAAAGAGCCAAATTTGTAAAGGCATTTAGGTACCTAAAGATGCCACTAGTGGGATTTTTCAATCTGTAAGCACGTGATTATCATTAAAAATCTGTCCCTAAATCCATTAGTGGGAAATAGTAAGAAACTCAAACCTGTGGGGAACCAGCCAGTAGAGAGCACTCATAAGCTACACTCTTCTATAGTGGGTTACAGTAATACCCAAGAAACATTGTGTAAGGCAGTGGTCCCCAAACTGCGGGGTGCACCCCCCCAGGGGGTGCGGAGGAACATTTGGGGGGGGGGAGGGGCAGCAGGGCCCAGGCCAGCCCCCACAGAGGGTGGGGAAGGAACGCCATCTAACCCCAGCTCTGCTCTGACCCCATCCCCTGCTGCAGCCCTGGCTCCCAGTCCTGCATCCAGCCCCACCCCCAGCCTTCGCTCCTGCCCACAGCCCCAGATCCAACCCCAGCTGCAGCCCCCTTACCCCTGTTCACCTCCCACCCCCAGGAGAAGCCGTGGCCCCGCTCCTAACCCTGGCTCCTGGGGCGGGGGGTGGGGAGGTGCAGACAGGGGTAAGGGGATTGCAACCCTGAAAATTTGGGGCCCACTGGTGTGGGAAGTGAGATCCACAAAGAGATTTAGGCCTCGCAAGGCTGAGTACACACTGCCCAACTTTTAGCTATCTAGAAAAATCACAGCAACACACTGTGCTCCACACAGCCTTGGTAGATGCCTTGGCTCTTGACACACTTCGTGGGCAGAGACTGGAGCCCAAGAATGAGCGTCACACAAGCCAGCATGCTAGGTGTGGAGTCTAATTGCTACATTGTACTCAATAAATACAGATACAACGAAAGACACAGGATGACAAGGAATAGCCAGCATGGCTAAACCAACCTCATTTCCTTCTTTGACAGGGTGGGTGGGGGATGGGGGAGTAGTAGACTTGATATATCTTAATTTTTAATAAGGCAAATTAAGGAAAGGTGATTTAGATGAAATTACAGTCAGGTGGGTGCAAAACTGGTTGAAAGACCCACTCAGAAAGTAGTTTCGGTCAGCCACTGCCTCCCAAGAGTCAGGCATAGTGGATGAGGCTGAGGTTGAAGCCGGATGTCGGGTAGGGACTGGGCCCAAGGGAGGGCTGTGAAACCGAGATATTTGGACAGGCGGGGATCAGAACAAGGATCACAATCCGTAGACACGCCAAAACCGTACTGCGGCTGGAGTCCAGGTGCAGGCCAGAAGTGGGGAGCTGCTTAAGCTAGCTAATGGGCAATGCTGACAAGAAAGCATGTCCTACGCCTTGCCCCGCTCTTGAAGGTAGGCCCTCCCTGCAACCCAAATTTAGGGACTTAGCTCTGCTTCGTGAAGCATGAATGGGAACCAGCCACCTGCAGTCACACAGCTCAGGCATCCTCTCCTGAGGAGGGGGTAGTGCTGTCTACCTGTACAAATATTAGCCAGTAGTTAGACCACTCAGCTGCAGTGTGGGAGACCTGGGTTCACTTCCCTCTGCTGGGGGGACACTGATTTGAACAGGGGTGTCAAACCTCTCAGGAGAGTGCTCTAACCACTGAGTTACAGGCTATGCAGATGTGGGGGCTCTCTCTACTTTTCCTGTTGAAGTTGTTGCGGGTTGGAGAAATAATGCAAGTGATTGGAGCAGGAGGACTGGACCTTGGGACTCCTACCTTCCCCATGGGTGCCCAAACTCCTGGGCTACAGCATCATTCTCGCTTGCTAGCTCTATTTAAGTATTTATCCACCATGGCGCAATGTCCCACATCCCAGGCGAGTGTTGTAACTTCTGGGCTATAAGTTAAGTTATAAGGTAGGCGGCACCACCACCTTGCTGCCAGATTCTAAATGGGCCTTGATCGAGTAGGCATGCTCAGAGGCTACCTACTGGATCAGGCCCCCACCTTTCTCCCCACAGTTCATGAATCACTCTGGAGCTTACGTGGGAGACAGGTCCAACCTCCCCTGTTGCATACAGGGAGGCAGCCCAGTGACAAAAACATGCACTGAGGGAACTTTTACCCTGAGAACTTGGGTGCTCAGTGAATTAAGACACCTACAGGGTTTGGTGGGAGTTTTATGGAGCCAAAACTGGCATTTAGATGCCTAAATCTGGGGTTTAGGCAGCTAAGTACCTTTGTGGTTTGCACCCAAATCATCTACCTTTTGTCTCTGACTTTGGTCAATCAACTTTTCAGGAGAGAACGTGAGAAAGAGGATGCCATTTACATCTGGAGGGAAAGGAAACAGAGTTCAGAAGGGTTTGGATGGCAGTCCGAAGGAGCTGGGTTTGAATCTGCCCTAATCAGCAAGGACATGTGAGTGGAGAAGCCAGAAACTGGCTAGGTGGGTGCAGCTTGGGTAAGGTAAGGAGCCCTCACCTCACTGCTGAGAGTGCGGGGGGAGGGGGAGATCAGATTAGAAATGAGACAGCATGAGGTAATATTTCTCTCTGTTATTTTACTTGTATTACTCCTAACACAGACATAGGAATGCTATAAAAGAAAATCCTAACACTAATGTAACAGTGACAAACATACATGAGTACCATGGCTGCTAGATACATGCAAGAGCTGAATGACACTGGAGTTATACTTTGTAGAAGTGACATTAAAGTTGCAGAATCCAGCACTGAAAAGTAAGGAAATGCCCAGAGATTGTCCACTCTTGCCCTTCCTACACACACTTCCGTAAACACACAATAAACCACAGGAAGTCTGTGACAGAGTCTGAAATAGAATCTGTCTCGCTTCAGCCTCAGGCCTTCAATATAAGACAACAATTTTTTTCTTGCCACTCCTCACCTCATGTAGTGTCTACCCTGAGCATTGACTGAGGCAGGGGTCCCATAGACTAAATTGTAGGTGATGATGCAATTAAAAATGGCATCATTAAAAACCTATGCCTGAGGTGCAGATTTGTGATTACATGGGCAATCTTTCCTACTAATATTTTTTTAATTTGAGTGCTTGACTTTGCAACCTTAATATTCTTCTAATGTAGCTTTCTGTAAGTCATTTTCTAGTGTCTAAAACAAACACAATCCTGCCATCCTATTGAGCTATATTGACAGCCAGGTGAACTAATGGCAGGGTTTGAACTAATACCTTTTATGTGTACAACATAAAGCTATTTAATAGTAACAGCAGTACAATGGAATGGCTTACATGACTATTTGCTAGCTAGTAGAGGCATGGTGGGAATCAGGATACTATCAGGCACTATTCCTGGTTTGTGCACTGAGGGTTAATAAGGGCCGGCCTTATGACAATGGTGCCCTGGGCGAACTTGTATGATGGTGCTCCCTCCATCACCCCTGGCTCCTACGGGCTCCCTGGGCTCCCCCCCACGCCCCGCCCATCGCCTCCGGGCCATTACCTACATTTCATATGGAAAGTCCATTCAATGTAGATGGGCATCTCCCATGGTCCAGTGTGAGTTAAGTGTCCCTTGGTGAGCCACTTACTTTGACTAGTCCCTTCAAGATGTGCTGGCTAACTACCTTGTGGGAATTACCCTAGGAACAAACATTTGAAATCCAGGTATACAGCCAATACTCTTTACTTCAAATACAAAAATGATACATGCATACAGATAGCATAAACATATTCAGCAAATCATAACCTTTTCACAGACAGTGTGTGTGTTGGGGAGTGTGAGACTGTGTGTGTGTGTGTGTGTGTGTGTGTGTGAGACAATGTGTGTTGGGGGACTGTGAGAGGCAGAGTGTATGTGGGTGTGAGAGCCTGTGTGTGTGAGAGAGACAGTGTGTGTGTGACTGTGTGTTGGGGGGTTGTATGAGAGACAGTGTGTGTTGAGGAGTGTGAGACTGTGTGTGAGAGACAATCTGTGTTGGGGGACTGTGAGAGGCAGAGCGTATGTGGGTGTGAGAGCCTGTGTGGGTGTATGTTAGGGAAGTTTGACAGACAGTGAGCGCACTGTCACTTTAAGTCCCCCCTGCGCTCCTCACTCACGTTGAAGTTTCGCTCCCCCTGGCCCTGGCCTGGCCGGCCCACGCCGAAGACCCGAGCGGCGCAGGGCTGCAGGCAGGGAGGGACTCGGCTCTGCTCTGGGCAGCGAGTGGTGGGGCGCGTCGCCAGTGACCAGCCCAGACCATGCTGCTCTGGGCTCCCCGGGGCTGGGGCAGAGGCGGAGCCCTCAGCCGGCCAGCTGAGGAGCAAATGAGGGAGGGACCAGGGGGGCGGGGAGAAGCCCGCCGGCCCAGCATGAAGGAGGGGATGGAGAAGAGAGGAGTCTGGCCACAGCAGGCCAGGGGAAGCCCGAGCCCCTTTTGTCGCCCCTCCGGCTACAGCGTCCTGGGCATGGGTCCCGTTTGCCTGGCCCTAAGGTCGGCCCTGGGGCTAATGGTTAGTCATGCTACCTCTGTGTGCTTTTTCCATCTCCAACAAAACGAAGATGGCAAACCCAACTCCCAGTCACTTTATTACCCTACAGGGCTGAATTCTACAACCAGTCCTGGTAGGAGTGACCTTGTGTAACCTCTTAGTTACAGACATCTGCAAATGAATGGGGGCAGAGGGAGTTAGACTGATACTCCCCCAGTAAGAGGCCTTTCCCGCTAATAAAAGCTCTGATGTGCAGAGAATTGTTAACCCAAGGCAGTGGAAAAGCAGAGTGAATAAGCCACCCCCCCGATCGACGTAAGTTACACCGACCTAAGTGCTGCTGTGAACAGCGCTATGCTGATGGGAGAGCTCTCTCTCTTCGGCATAGAGCGTCTTCACCAGACACACTGCGGCGCAGCTGCACTGCTGTAGTGCTTATAGTGTAGACTAGCCCTAAGTGTTTTCATGAGAACCGTAAAAGGCACCTCTGACCCCAGCCCATCACTTTGCCCAATTTCAAATCCCTGCTTCAAAAACACAGAGGAACAAGAGCACTTCAAAGAAATGGGTGGGAAAATACTCAGTTAACATTAGCAAAAAAGTTCCTATTTTCCCCTAACTGTGCTTTCAGCAACAGCGGAACCATTTTTTACTGAAATTCTGGGGTTTGAGGGGGGACTGAGCGTGAGCAGAGTCCTGACAGTGAAAATTTCAGCCCAGGTGGTTAAATTTTGGCAAAGTTTATAAGCAACCAACCACACAGGCTTGCAAGAGGAAGCCTTAGCCAGACTTAGGTATGGGTGTTACCGAGAGCTGGCCATAATGACGACAGGTTTCCAAATTTGATTGTAGCTTCTTCTGGATCATTCTTGGTGGCATGAGACTAGGTAATGCTCTTTACGGCCGCTGCAGCATGTCTTCCCCAAGCTCCTGCCGCACCTGCACAACACATGTATGTGCATGAAGTGTGCCCTACCGCATCCCACTGCTGGGGCTCAGTGCCAGCCTCGGCATGGGGCGCAGGGGAACTCAGAACTTCCATAAAACATTCAGAACAGTGGCAGGGCCCTGCACAGACAGGGGAAAGGATTTCAACCCCCCTTATTGCTACTTGGATGCCAGCAGCTCCTGGGCAATGGTATAACTCACTGAGAGAACGTGTGACTAAAACCAGGGCCACCCAGAGGATTCAGGGGGCCTGGGGCAAAGCAATTTTGGGGGCCCCTTCCATAAAAAAAAGTTGCAATACCATAGAATACTATATTGCCCCACTTGCCTCCCCCCTCTGGGCGGCCCTGACTAAAACTGGCATTTGGAGAACTTGGTGGGCCGTGGTCATCTCTGCTGGAAAACAAGAGCAGCACGGAAACCCTGTGGGGAGAGTGTAGATCTGCATCCACTGCGACTGTAAGCTTTATGGGACTAGGACTGTCTTGCTGTGTCTACGTACAAAGCCTAGCACGATGGGCCCAGACCATGGTTGGGGCCCTTCAGTAGCCACTGCAGTAGGAGTGTTAACAGGAGTACAAGGTGAATGAGGGAACATCTTTTATTGGACCAACTTCTGTTGGTGAAAGACAAGCTTTCAAGCTACACAGTGACCCGAAGAAGAGCTCTGAGTAAATTTGAAAGCTTGTCTCTCTCCCCAACAGAAGCTGGCCCAATAAAATATGTTACCTGCCCTACCTTTTCTCTTTAATATCCTGGGACTGGCATGGCTACACCACCACTGCAAATAATGGGGTTGTGATCATTATTTTAAAATAAGTTTGACAGCCTAAAGACTCCCTAAAATCAGACTTCCCCCCCATTGTGCTTGAATGGGTGGCAGCCCTGTTGAATGGGTGGCTATTTCAGCTCCCAGCTTGTTGATAACTGTCTGGAGTTAGCTTATGGACAGACACGTTCTGCTTCAGAACAGCCAGGGAAACCAGATGTTACAATGCTTGGCTTGCACCCTGTTACCATGGCTATATAACTGGGGGAAAATAACATTCCAAGTTTAAAATACCCGAGTTCTGTTAGTTTTTGGAGTGTCGAGAAGCCCCGTGGCTGTGGGTGACAATGGGGCTCAACTCAAAGCTGAAAGTAAGTTAAGGTTCAGCACTCTTCATGTTCTTGGGTGGGAGGGAAAGAAAGCCCAACTAAAACCCTGGTATGGATTATGTAATTATTCAGAACCACAACTGCCAGGCTTTTCAGCTCTGGCTCCAAGTCTCCTGTCTTCTGTGGGTTAAAGCCAGGCCCCTCCCCTGCATGGTATAGGTTGTAAGTTAAATAATAATTATCATAATAATTTACAACTGAATGGGCAGAGGAAACTCAACATATAGACAATAAAAAGTGAGTTACAAGGCCTGCTACCTCCTGGTCTGCTTCCTCTTTGGAATGTCGTTTATTTTCTCTTTGGTCTCCTTGGCTCCTGTGATCTGCAAAGCAGCGAGATGCTGGTTAGCTCCTGTGTTGTGTTTTATATAAGTCACGCTTCGTGTAGAGGGTGACTGCATCTGTGTGTGGCATTTTAAGGGAGCCCAGCTGTAGAGAGGAGTGCAAATCAGAGTCTTTTGGAGAACACGAGTTGTCAGATCCTCCCTTTCCACCATAAGGTGGAAAGTTTGGGATTTTAGTGTCAAGGGCATGAATGTGAGTGGGAAAATGAAATTTCCTGTCTAATACTCCCCATCACCTGCACTTCACCCTCTGTTAATTACCTGGTTCTAATCTGATTTACTAGAATCTCCAGTGGCATTTGCTCTTGCTGGTATTTCAGACACTGCAGGAGGAAGAGCTATTGATACCATACAGATTAACTTGAAGAAAACAACATACTCTCAGACTTTCTTTCCCAGGGCAGTGACGGCTTTTGGAAGAACTCCCAGATGTTAATACCCATGTTACAAAGTGCTCTGAGATAACCAGGTGAACGATGAGAAAAAGGCACAAGAAGTTGCATATCTTGAGAACAGCATCCCAGGCCTTGGCTACACTCGCGGATTCACAGCGCTGCCGCGGCTGTGAAGCGCGAGTGTAGTCGCGCCGCCAGCACTGCGAGAGCTCTCTCGCAGCGCTGCAAGTACTCCACCTCTCCGAGGGGAATAGCTTGCAGCGCTGCGAGGGAGCGTGCAGCGCTGCAGGCGCTGATTACACTGGCGCTTTACAGGGCTGCACTCGCTGCGCTCAGGGGGTGCAGCAAGTGCAGCGCTGTGAATTGCCAGTGTAGCCAAGGCCCCAGGAGAATTGGTGGATGGGGTAGGAAAGGAAGGAAATCTAGCCTGCTCGAGGGCATTGTAACTGAGACATACCTTTATCTGCCCACAGATCTAAAGTGACACAACAACAGCTAGAGACAGCAGTTCACATCACAAGGCCACAGAATCCAAGAACTATAAATACACAGACCTGGGAGGAGGAATGTAAGGGCATGGCTAGACTTGCAGATGTAGAGCGCCAGGAGTTGAACCAGCCCTCAGAGACAGCAGCAGGGAAAACGCTGCCGTGTGTTTACACTGTCAGCTGCAAGCGCAGTGGTGTGGCCACATTAGCAGCTCTTGCAACGCCACAGAGAGCAGTGCATTGTGGTAGCTATCCCAGTGTGCAAGTGGCTGCAATGTGCTTTTCAAATGAGGGGGAGGGGTGGAGTGTGACAGGAAGTGTGTTGTGTGTATGTGGGGGGAGAGACAGTGTGTTTTGGGGGGCAGAGAGTGTGTCAGCATGCTCTCTTGTAAGTTCAGAGAGCAGCAGGGGGAAACCCCAACATCAGCCCCCCGTCCCCCCCCCAGCCCTCTCATTCACACATGCCTGCCTCTGCAGCGGCAGCATTCCACAGTAATGGTTTGCTTTGTCCCGGGGCAGATAAGCATGCCAGCTGTCAGAAACAGAGCTTTGAAAGGGGATATCCCCATGCCTGCAGCTGATTCAAAACAATGACAAGAGTGGCCACTTGACTTCAAGGGATTATGGGATGTTTCTGGAGGCCAATCACAGTGCAGTAATTGAACACGTCGTCCACACTTACACCCAGGCGTTTCAACCGGGACGCAGCAAGCTTTATGCTTCTCGTGGAGGTGGATTACCAGGAGCAGTCCAGCTGCAGTCCAGGTGCTCTACGTGCCTTGCCAGTGTGGACACCTCAGGAGTTAGGGCACCTGGGGCTGATTTAATGCGCTCTAACTTGCAAATGTAGCCAAGGCCTAAGAGACATGCACAAACTAACCAGGCAGTCTGAGCAGCGGGGGAGAGACCAATGGCATTTAAGATGCAAGACTTTAACAACTCTTAATACAGGACAGCTGAACAATTTGCCCCAGCTAGCTAAGCAGTTATTCAGTCCTTACACTAATTTTGTTCTGTTTAACATTTAGTCCAATTTTACTCTTGTAATTTCTATGCCGAATAAAACCTTGCTTTTATTTCAAGGCAACTGGATGGGTAATTGTTGGTAGGGACAATGCCTGGCCGGACAGTCTCGAGGGAAGGAGATAAACTGCAATGTGGAATAGGTTTTGGAGGTGTGACTGCAGTATGTGTAGACACGCCGGAGCTAGCTTTAATCGAGTTAGCTTGGATTCCCATAACACTGAAACTGCAGCAGCACTGACTGAACATAGACGGGTTCCAGGCTGGCTTGTACAGCCAGTGCTGTAGCCTGTGCTGCTGCAGCTTCACTATTTGTACCCAAACTAGCGAGATTAGCGCAGGTATCCCTGCAGTCTTCCAATTACCACTGCTTCCTGCCTGCAGTGTACATTCAGTCCCAGGGGGACAGAGGTACCTGCTTGAGCACTTCATTTAGGGCCAGCTTGTTAAAGGTATTTAGGTGCACAACAGCAGAGCTAGGTGCCCTGGGCCCTGAAAACTCCATGAGGCGCCTATCGGAACTGTTAGGTGCCTAAATACCTTTAAAAACCTGTCCCCTAGTCAAAGACATCTCCCAGGGCATTGACTGTAGCCAGGTCAGTTGGAGCATGGGGAAGTGAGAGAGCCATACACAAAGTTACCCAGGAAAGAGAGAGGCAGTAAATTATGACCACACAGCAACTGGAATGAATCCAGAAGGATACTCACACCAAATGAAGAGGGTTAGAAGGCCAAGGAGAGATATTACAGCTGAGGTGACTGCGTAGCTGGTCAGATCTACAGTCTGTGAGCAGCCTCTGTCTGTATTTTTTTAAAAAAGAGAAAGTTACAGCTTGTCAGTAGCTTGCTCATTTGTCCAAAGAAATCATAGGGGAGCTAAAATGTAGGACATAAACTTGTATTTAATCCAGACCTCTATAGGGCTAAGACATGTCTGTGGGAGGAGAGAACCGGAACATCTATATTTTATAATAATACACGAGATTCAAATGTGCTGCCCTGGAGATCCCTGACCAGGACTTTTGAGTGACCAAAGGTGAGACAGGGAAGTCGTGCCTGACTAATCTAATTGCCTTCTATGATGAGATAACTGGCTCTGTGGATTAGGGGAAAGCAGTGGATGTGTTATTCCTTGACTTTAGCAAAGCTTTTGATACGGTCTCCCACAGTATTCTTGCCGCCAAGTTAAAGAAGTATGGGCTGGATGAATGGACTGTAAGGTGGATAGAAAGCTGGCTAGATCGTCGGGCTCAACGGGTAGTGATCAATGGCTCCATGTCTAGTTGGCAGCCGGTTTCAAGCGGAGTGCCCCAAGGGTCGGTCCTGGGGCCGGTTTTGTTTAATATCTTTATTAATGATCTGGAGGATGGTGTGGACTGCACTCTCAGCAAGTTTGCAGATGACACTAAACTGGGAGGCGTGGTAGACACACTAGAGGGTAGGGATCGGATACAGAGGGACCTAGACAAATTAGAGGATTGGGCCCAAAAAAACCTGATGAGGTTCAACAAGGACAAGTGCAGAGTCCTGCATTAGGACGGAAGAATCCCATGCACTGCTACAGACTAGGGACCGAATGGCTAGGTAGCAGTTCTGCAGAAAAGGACCTAGGGGTCTGTAGTGACTCGGCCTGGCTCCCGACGGCCCCTGAGGGGGAGGAGACAGAACAGACACCCAAGTGGGCGGAGCTGCCGGCACCTGTTCCCGCTCCCCGGAAGTGGGCGGAGCCACCGGCACCTGTTCCCGCCCCCCGGAAGTCAAGGGGCGGGACAGGAAGTATAAAAGCCCAGCCCCAGCACTCAGTTGGAGCCCAGCGGCCGGAGAGGCCAGACGCTCCTGCTCGGGCTCCTGCGAGACCGCGCCTGCCCCGAGCCAGGTATCCGGAGGTGGACGGACCAAGCCTCCCCAGAGCCAGGTATCCGGAGGTGGACGACCCGAGTCTCCCCAGAGCCCGGTACCCCGAGGTAGGCTGGCCGAGCCTACCCCGAGCGCGGTACCCCGAAGCGGACTGGCCGAGCCTGCCCCGAGCACGGTACCCCGAGGAGAGGCCCGAGCATCCCCCTGACCCGAGACCGGAGGAACGGCCCGACCTAGACAGCCCTCAACACGCCGAGGAGCCCATGGTGTGGGACCCCGCTGCCGAGCCCAGCGAGGAGCAGGTACCCATGGAGGAGGAGGAGATGGGAAGTGGCCCGGGGATCGCAGACCCGGAACCGATGTCAGTGTGTTGCGGGCAGGATCCCCACTGACCCCGCGGCAGACGGACTGCTGCGGATAGGGCCCCGGGCTGGAACACAGTGGAGTGGGTGGGCCTGTGTTCCCCCCTGCCACCCCACGCTGGGTGGCAGTCTCTCCTCCTCCCTGCCTAGGGCAAGGACTGCCCCAAGTGCTCAGCTCCTGCCATCAGGACCTGAGCCCCCTGCCGCTGTTTGCTGCCCCGCCCTGACCAAGGGCCTGGGCTACCTGACTCTGTTTGCTGCCCGGCCCTGATCAA